AAGACTCGGTGAGAGGAAAGTTGAGGAAGTGGGCTGCACCCGTGCTGAATTGTATTTCACCGGTCTGAGGGGTACTCATGAGAGGACAGGGGTTCTTGAGACCACGCCACGCGAGAAGAGGAGCCGAGCATCTTCCCGCCCCTGCCGAGTGGATGGATTTCAGGCTGCCCGTCTGATGGGAATAAGGCGACAGGGGTGGTGGAGAGAACACCATGGAACCGACTGTTGTGAGCGCTGCTGATCCTGATTCTGGCCTTCACTTCCGCCTCTTTTTGTGTAACCAACAGGTGCCGTTTGCTTCGTCTGCATGGAAGGGCCAAGCGCTTGGCCAATCAAGTGTCGGCAAACTTCTGATGCCGGATCTGCTGATGCTTCTGACTGTTGCTCACGGCGAATGTCGATACGATTACTAGCCAACGATTGCAAAGGCCGCTACAACTTCACATACTGGTGATCGGCTGGTCTCGGGAGGCGGATGGATGCCCAAGGCTGTCCTGTCTCCTGTCTGGCCAAGAGATGTGGATTCGGATGCGTGTGCTTACGTGAAGTGTCATGAAAGATCCCATGCGGGCGACGACGTGATCTAAGACTGGGAGTCATCATATTTCCATCGCCCGGCTAGCAACGTGCGCCATGTTACCAAGAGGCCGAGGCAACCAACCACCGCGCGTGCGGCCGCAACCCCCCAGATTTGGCTCCCTAATCGCTTCTTTTGCCAATATGACCTCTGTGCTTCTCGACGTTCCATCGAAACGCGCCACGGTCCCGAGAGTCTGACACCCTTTGCCTACTTACCCTCGTTTAGTTAGATCGCTCGAGCAGCCTGCAAGTCTAGGGTTGCGTGTGTATGCCTGGAGTGGCTAAGAACAGCCTCGTCATTATTTTCCTCTGACAATGCGTATCCAACCCGATCCAGAGATTGTCACCGCTTTTCCAAGAGTGAGACTGCTCCCGGAAAGCTGATGAACATGTGTTAGGCACACCCGACTTGCTGTGCCGCCTCTGAATATGGACGGGACGAAAGATGACAAAGAATCCGACCCACGAAAGCGGTAAGTAAGATATTTCCTGTGAAGAGCTTCGTTTTCGTTCTGGGTCGTCAACAGCCCAATTGGCTCATCTAACAGTGTTATTGGTCCGTCTGAAAACCTGTCAGTCGATCGATCAGTCGATCTAGCCTGTAGCTTGCACATGATTGAGTGAAATTAATATCTTCAGCTCTTGACGATGATGTAGCCGCTCTGCCCCAGTAACCGGGTGTACGTCCACCGCCACCAACACCACCAGCCGGTCTGGCCTGACTACCTAGGTCTGGCCGTACTGTTGGGCCGTCCCTCGGAGCGCCAGTAAAGGAACCTGCCGGCTGTCAGAAAGTGAAGCATGCAGCAGAATACGCACTTTGGGCAGCCCCATGTTTGCTCAAAAAGGCCTTGACCGCCTTCAACCACCCCGCAGCCCCTGGTCCTGGCGTGTTGCCTGAGGGAGGGATTGTTGTTGGAAAGAGGAAATTCCCATAAAATCCGCTCACGAGCAGCCAATGTTGAAGACTCATTACCATTACGAAACTGCAAGCATACCCGCAGTCGCAGAAAGTCGACGGCCGCACGGCGTCTTGGCCGCGAAGAGACGATCTCTCCAGCAGCCGTTGGTCAAAAGGGTGCATTGCGTGCGGGCCCTGCGAATTGGTGTCCCGGCTGAGAGCAAACTTTTGACATTCATCTCGAGAAAACCTGTCGGTCAACAGATTCGGCCATTTTACAGGCAAAAGCGCCTGTCGAAAGCAAAGCTCTGCATGCGCGGGCGTCACCAATGATGGCAGCCTCTGTCGATGCAGCTGATGAGGTCAGGGAACCATCCGCTAACGATCTCGTATCAAATCAGCGTCCGACGTTCCTCTGCAGGCCGCCGTACCAGTCGAGTGAGGCGAAGTGAAGTAAGAGCGTTGCGAGATGGCCACGCAGAGCGGATGTGTATAGATTGGATCCCTGAACCAGGCCTCGGTGATTGTGAGACGCACAAAATCGGCCTGCCAACAGCGAACACGGTTGCAATTTGCTGCTTCAGAGCAGGCATGAACGACCAGGAATACCGAGTTCTGGTGGGACGCAGGAGACCGTGGAGAGTTTAAGCTCAAATGGGCAACCGGTGAGTCGGGAGCCTCGCTTGTGGATGGTCGCTCGACAGACCAGAGACTCGACCCGTGGAAGTGTGTGGATTCATCCCGGCAAGGCCAGTCGATAGCCAAGTGAAATTATGTGCCGTGGCGTGCCCCCAAACCTACGAACCCCAGCGCTATTCCGTACCGCCCACTTTCGTCGAAGGTTGCCAGCCATTGGTTTGTCTAGCTCTGCCTCGTGCTATGCTTCGATGCTCAACCACTCAACATTGTATCCGTACTTTGGTCGGGTACCACAGTCTCGAGTCCCAAGGCTGCAGCTAGAGCGGCGGTGATTCGTGAATAGGGTGTGCTGGCCGCTTACAGACCATGCTGCACATAGTCCGGCAACGATTTGTGGATTGGCGAATGATTACTGCTGGACTAGAGAATTTTTTTGCTGGAATATTTTTTGCCGAGATGTCATTAGACTGCCTGGCAGGCTAAGTAGAGCACTACAGTTGCCACAAAGTTCAAACGGATCGCAGAACTAATCGGGACGACGCTAATCAATGCGTAAGACTGTAAGACGAGCATAATGATCCATTTCTCTGCCGATTCTTGAGATCTACTGAGCACTGGACAAGATAGGTTGCAATGCGCTAGCATGCAATCGTGTCCGAACGGGCGGGGAGAGTTTTCGGGTAGGCGGACATGGGGTCTACAGATTGTATTAGTGAATTCCGCGCGGACTTCTTTTCTGGTTGAGTCGGTTCAAACCTACCTTGGCTATCGAGCCCTTTTCAGCATCCCATAATAGTACATGAAGCGGCTGCGCATGCATGCTCCGGTGATTGCGGAAGAGGTCCCGTTGCCCTAGTCCCCGGCGGAACAAGGACAACCTTGCACATCGGTCAAGTCCAGGGGCCGAGCTGGCGGACGGGAGACTCGGGTACCAGCATCGGCCCATGGAGTGGATGTATCCACCCGGTTAGGATGAACATCGGAAACTGCAACGTATGCCAACCGCAGATTTGTGCAGAGGAGCAGCAAAGCAGAAGCTGACTATGTTGATCTTGGTCTAGCGATTCGTGGCGTTCAGTCATTTGCTTGAGGATGGTTGGCAAGGAAATACCTCAGTGTACTGTGGAACGGCGAGCCTTGTCGGACCCCCAGCGAAGAGCGGCTTCTGGCCGAGACGCAGCTGGGCGGCCACAGCGTCGTCGAAAGTGCCATAGGCCTTCATCCACTCGACCAGTTCTGGATAAACTGTTGAGGGGTGGAATCCGTACATGGATGACGTTTGCGAGGTCGGTCGAGACAAATCGCCCTTGTCCTCGTTGATTTTGGCTGAGGTTCCCGGGGTTGAACGTAGTGGTGGGCCGGAGGGCACTCCGGAGGTTATGACAAAGTCACATCGAGCATCGGCGGCAATGCAACCCCCAAAGACGTGTATGGGACTGCCGGCGCTGGCCAGATGGTCCAGAAGCTACCCCTCGCAGAGATGCGAGCCAACGACGGTGGGAGAAGCGGACGAGTGGTGTGGTGGATTGGCAGCATGCAGCGAGAAAAGAGCACCTAGAGACGCAAGAATCGACAGTAGGAAGTGTTGAGGTTTGCCGTGACTGGTTGATGTGAGATGCGGGAGGCAGATACCGATACAAAGGCGAGGAATGGAAGGGAGCTTCGTCTCCGCTCTCAGGTACGGCGCCGATTTCGTCACGTGGAGTGCATCCCGGGTCGGGTGGTCCGAATGCAAAATCAAAGCTTCATGTGCCGGGCGACACGTCCATGGCTGAGGTTCTTCATCCGACCGGCCGAGAAGTACGGAGTGTCGGCGTGTGCTCAGGCCCTTTCTACCGTCGATGCCGGAAGGCCGATGTTGAGTTAAGGTTTAATCAACGACTCAACTCAGAAAAGATCACGAGAGAATAAGGTGCCTTGGTTTTTTTGAGGAAAAGAGGTGATTGCGCTTACAGTGCTACTTGCACCTCGAGGGACGTTGAGACGCCAAGTCACGACGCTTTTGGACAAAGAAGTTGTTCTTGTCTGAGGTAGCCCGGTACCTAGGTAAAGTGAATAAGGTAGGAAGCTACCTACCTTACCTTGATAATTCCATGGGAGTGCCATAGGTACCTAAGGTACCTTATCTAATGGAAGGCAAGAGGTGGTAGGTACCTTCCGGGTTATCCTGCAAGAAGAAGGCAGGCAAGCAGGCGCCAGTGCGCCTTCACCACTTTGAGCAAGTAGCAGGAGAGCAAGAATAAGGTAAGGCAGGTAGGTAAGGTAAGGTACCTCTTCCCTCATGTCACTTGGATTCCACCCAAGATGCAAGCACGCCTCTGACCCGTGGAAGTAGATAGGTAGGTAGTGGAGGCAAGGACCGTCCCGTCCCTTCCTACCTGAAGGTACCTTACCTTACCTTACTTCACCTCACCTGTGACCTAATCACCTTGGCTTCCTTGCCTTCACTCGGGTGCCTTAGCTTCCATTCAATTGGGTTGTGTGCTTCCTCCGTATTGGCTTACCATACCTACCTTAACAAACAAAGACCTCCATAAGGCGACTGCATTGTCAACTTTATTTGGACTGAACGAGTTCCAGGCAGCCAGAGCAATTGCCCCGCAAGCATTCTGCATTTGTTGATATATGACCAAGTTGCATCCTTCCGTCTGCTCAGACAACTGAGAGGCACGAGAAGATACTTCATCCTCGACGCACCTACCTTACCTTCGGATACCTCGCCTGTTTATCCGTACATTTACCTCATGTAAGTACGAAGCGAGATGCCTGCACTTTCCACTTTCGCTACTTCAGCAGAGAGCACATTAAATAGTACTTAAGTATAATACTTGTCCCTTGAGATCTGCCCCGAGGCAGGTTGCACCAATAGGTATTGAGGCCCTGCCACGCTTTGCTTATTTCTTGCATTCTGCAAGCTTCCCGTTATGACCATGTTTACACTTACTCCAGAAACTCTTGCGGCTGCCAGCTTCCAAGTTACAGCTAAGGAAATAGCCGGGTCCATCACCTTGTCGCTCACTCAAAGGCCGGACAATTTGATTTGGTCTGTATGGATTGAATGCCCCTTCTCTACCCGTTTACGGTTTCTTACCATTTGTCCAGCCACGCAGTCGAGCCAATCCACGTCCATATGTACTGCCAACGGGAGCAAAAGCCTTCCCCGCGAACGCGACCGAGACAACGCCGATCCAAGCTACGGCACGCTGCCTCAATGTCTTACAAAAACGGCTGGCCGCTGCTCGACGTCGATACAAGTAGCGACTCAGAAAAAGAAATAATAGCGTTGAGAGAGACTGCCGGGCCGAGGCCATGTAGAAGAGAAAAAGAAACCGCGAAGTGGCCTCTTCCCCCCCCCGATTTCCGTTGTCTGTCTTGACTGCCTGCCTGACTGCCCAGCTGAGCACCTTGCCACATACCAAAGGAGGTGAATTCGCGGCACCTTCCAAGCTCGCACACGCACGCATGCCTTACCGTCTGCTTGTTCGCCTTACACTACCTAAACTGGCGCCTCCTGCCTCTATCAAAAGTTCATACCTACGCAAGGCAGACAAGGCAGGAAGCCGCAACGGCGTTGGCCAAGCAGATCGACGGGAGTCCAACTAGTGCGGCTCGCGGACAAGGAAGCTGCCTAGGGCCCGCGGACACTGTCACTTCTCAGTGGGCAGAAACCCAAGTTGCAGATTTGCGAGGTGACATCGCCATTCACATCCACCCCCTTCTACCGCCAGCATCGTATGGTTGACATCTTCCTCGCACTTCCATTTGTGCTCGACTCGTTTCCTGCCAATTCGCCCCGAGTCAACCAACACAGCTCTTCTCCTCATCTTGACCGTCAATCCTTCCTCTCGACCAATCAGGCGCCCTGCTTGAGGACCTGGCACATCTCCCCTTCCAACTGCAGCTACGCATGCAGGGCAACAGACAAGCACACAAATCGGAACTCAACATTGTCATGCAAATTCCCCACGCCCATTCCCACGCCTACGCTCACGATCATTTCCTGGATCACTAGAACACCTCAGTCCATGCGTACCTTGTCACCGGTATCGCCAAATTTCATGATCCGGCCTATTGCCTCGTGCAACGTCGTGCCGCCCCGCCATCGGTCAACATCTTGTTTGTCAGTCACCGCAGTAGTGGCGGCACATCTGTAGGTAGAATCGACAGCAGGCTTCGAAAGTATTCTTTCCTGCTGATTTTCTGCGGTGATATACGACTCAGGAAACATCCGAATATTTGTCCATCTGTCATTTGACAGTTTCGTCCCCCCCCCCCCTACTCCAAAGCGCCAATTGTCGCCTTCTTCTGCGCTGTCTTCCATCAACTTCCTTGATGCCGTGAAACACCTTCGCTATATGACGTTGAGCGCCATTGGCTAGTCTGATTTCAACATCGCCCAAGCTTGTCAGCTATCGTCACAAGATGGATCTGGGGTCGGACATCATTCACGGCATCATTCACCCCACAGCAGCCTTCACGGACGTCTCTCTGTCAGAGGTCGAGCACCGTGATAGTAGCATCCCACATCGTCTTCCACCGGCCGATGAATGGGAGTGCTCCCAGCTGAATCCCAAAAATCGCATCGACAGCCTCGAACCCCTGCCAAATCCTCTGTGGCGCATCGATGGCTGTACAGGACTCGGGACGCAATTCTACGTCCTTCCTACGTTTCTCCATCCAACGCCACCGCTGCGTCTCGATGCCTTCGTGCCAGAACAGTCGACTCAAACGCCTGAAATCCGGCAATTATTGGATTTGGATGTAGCGTTTCATACCAAAGATCGCGCCCGAGTTCAAAAGCTGAATATATCCAAGCACATTCTTCGTGCTTTGCAAGTCTGGACGAAGCGACTGCCTAACCCAGAGGGACTCTTACGATCTGTGCCATTTGGGTCTCGCATCGTCTTCAAAGATATTTCTCTCGATGTCAGAGCCATAGAGATCAACATCGCACCCACGTACTACCTCGAACGTCAACTGCTCTCGGCATCCGCCCTCGCTGAGATGTGGGGACCCAAAGTCCACATACCGCAATGCATCGACTTGTCCGACGTTCATGTTGTCGAGCAGATCCACGACAGTGTCTGCCTTGTTCAAATCAAAGGCCGCCTCTGGATTTTGAAGACGCTCACAAGTTACACCAAGTACTTGTACCATGAGCTTAAGCTTCTGTTATTAACAATACCACATCAGAACATCATGTCATGTCCCGCACACCTCATCACGAAGCGTTGCACTTTTGGTAGCAAAGTTGCCGTCATCGGCTTCACTCTCGAATATCATCATTATGGTACTTTGAGAGACATTGTGCCTCTTTCACGGATCCACAACACGGTTTCTCAAACAGAACAACTCAAATGGTCAATACAGATTACATCTGGTGTACTACACCACCGCAGAACCTCTGGTACATTCTACCCGGATCTCCGCCTCGACAATATCGTCCTATCAAAGGATAGAGATGCAGTCATGGTCGACTTTGAGCAGCGCGGGGTGTGGTGCGAATTTGCGTCCCCAGAGATCAATGCCGTTGAATACATCCGCATATTAGCTACAGATGACGATATACCCGAGGATACCAGAGACCACTATGCCGAGATATTGAGACGCATGTGTCCTGATTTCGAGTCTCTTCAAGCGAGGGAGGAGTATACAAATCCGACCAACGGCTACAATATCTGCTGGGCATGTCTCAGCCCAAGGGAGCAGGAGGCATCAGAGGTGTACATGCTCGGGAGAGTGTTATGGTGCATCTTTGAGGGAGCTAGCGCACCTCAGCAAGCTGCTGTGTGGCAGTCTTATCGCTGGGAGACCGACGTCGACTTTCCTGCCTTTCTCAGGACGCCACCGATACTACGCTCACTCATCGACCGTTGCACAAGTGGCCGTCGTGCCACCTTGGGTAACCAAATCGGTAGAGAGGGCAACAAGATTGTTTTCAAAGGTCAGGAGAACAAGACTGATCCCGAGGACATCCGACAAGCTGCTGCGGCGTGGTGGAAACGTGAGATAGCGTGGGCCGAGAGTTTCTTGGCCATGAGAGCCCACTCAAAACCGAGTGGAGAATGGAGTGAGAATCACTTCAACAGACCTAGCTTACAGAGCGTGTTAGATGAGCTAGAGAAGATTCGGGATGAACTATGATTAGGAACAGACACCAGGCCAAAGATGGCTTTAAATGGGCTGAAACAGATCAGAACAGATATATTCACTTAGAGATGAACGACTCGGGGATAGATAGTGGTATTTATTGTATTGCAGAACAAGAGAGGAGAGGCCTCAAAAGTATGAGATGCCCGAAGCCGCAACCAATCGACCAAAGTCACTGCCTAGAGACTTGGCGCCATGCATCCTCTAGCAGTTATGTAGTCTAAATGAGCAACATGATGTGTGGGAGTACAGGGAGTGTGAAGGGGATTTACATGAACATGAGAAGTATAGGTAAAGGGGGCGAGTGTCACAGACACAAGTGTGAAGAGAAATAAGGTAAGAATCCTGTCCTCCCCAAGGTCCAGAGAAATGCTCTGTACTTCCCAATCTTTCCTTCTTGTATCAAACAAGGTTGCAGTATAGGAATATCGTCCCGTGGACATGTACGTGTAAGCCCACGTCACCTCATCCTCTTGGGTCCCCGATCATGACCCTGACTCTGTCCGTGGCGCTTCGACCCCGCCCCGGACGAGCTTGTGATGGCTAAGCCGCTGCCACCAGGCCTCCTCAAGCGAGAAATAAGGGAGCGGAATTTCTCGACGTAGGTGGTAGGCGCGCCGTTGATGCCCAGCTGGTCCAGGATGTCTTCGAGACTGTGGAGGAAGGGCGCGGCCGCGTCGGGCGGGAGGAGGCTCAGCACGCCGAGGACGAAGTCTTCGTCGCGGTCCCCGACGAGGCGGAGGAAGAGGTTCTTGTCCCGGCGGGCTATGGCGGCGGGCCTCGTCGTCGATGTCGGGGGCACGAAGTCGCGGTTGCGCTCTACGACGGCGGCGAGGATGTGGACTAGGGTGCGGGCGGCGCTTGTACGCTCCTGGGGTTCTAGGGGCCGGTCACGCTTGAAGATTGAGGTGCGGACGAGACCTATTACGCCGTTGATGTGTCTTGCGGCCCAGGCTACGTCGCGGGGACCCTCTGCTGAGCCTCCTTCTGATGATGAGGTGTTGGTGGTGGTGGCGTAGGAGTCGAGCTCGCGCAGAACACGGTCGACGCGCTGTGAGAGCTTGCGGAAGCGATCGTTCACGGGATCCGTGGAGCGCATCTGGGAGAGGAAGTAGTGGAAGAATTCGTTGTTGGCGAGGAGCATGCGGAAGATTGTGCCCTCAAGGTCGCGACGCTTGACGGGTTTCTTGCCCGTGGAGGGCGGATCTGAGAAGAGATCTGGGCGGTAGTCTTCCGGAGGAGACGAGGACATGACGGCCGAGAGCATCTCGCGGGCTTCATCGACACGATGAGAGTTCGGGTACTGCTGCTTCTCCTGCTCCTGTCCTTCTTCCTCTGCCTCGTCCGAGTCAGTGTTTTCAGAGTCCTCTTCCGAGTCTGGGGTGACGACGTCGCAGCGTAGACCATCGGCCAGAACGTCCAGATGGAAGGCCGAGATGTCGGAAAAGGGGTCGCCAATCTCTTCTGGGTAGCCGTCTGCAGTCATCGTCAGGGGGGACGTCGGGTCGTGGTCGTAGAGTGTCTGCTTGACGAGCTGGTCCAGGAGCCACAGGAGGTGCTTGCAGGGCGAGCCGGCCTTTTGCTGCTGTTCCCGGCACGAGCATCGCGGGGTCGCGAAGGGGCTGTCGGGGGATCCTATGCGGATGGAACGGGGCACGAGCTCCGTCATCTGAAAGGCGTAGACGTCGTCCCTGAGGCGGCAGTACTGCAGCGAGAGGCGGGGCGGGTCCTTGAAGGCCTCTCGGACGCGCAGGCGGGCGTCGTGGGAGAGCATGTCGAGCTTGTAGACGAGCTTTGAGGGGGAGCGGATGACGGAGTGGTCGTCGTCGTCGACGAGAGACGAGTCCGAATCGGACTCTGGCTCGGAGCTGCTGGGGCCACCGCCATCGTCGTCTTCGTAGCCGCCATCGTCGTCATCATCGTCGTAGTAATCTGAGGTGGTGATATCGCTGAGGGACTGCCGGTGCGCCTGGGCTCTGGTTGTGGGAGGCATCCTTCTTCCCAGAGAGAGCTCTCTGAACTTGGCTACGGGGGTGGGAGAGGATGATGAAGACATTTATGGTGTGCGAAGGAGCAGTAGAGTTCTATATGTTTCACAGAGCCTGCTGATGAAGAAGGGGTCTCCATGGTGAATCGGTTCACGGGTTACTTATAGGATTCAAAGGTCAGATGGCAGGGGGGTATGGGAAGGGGAAAGGGGGAAGGAGGAAAGGGGGGGCGGAGTGAGGCCAACTATGACAAGACCCCCAGAGGCCCAATGCTAGTGCTAGTTGGCGAAGCTGGCGATGCTAGATGGGATGTTGGAGCAGGGGGGAGAAGCGGAAGGAGGCAGATGAAGACATGACCAAGAAGTGCCTGGTGAGTACTCGCACACGAGTGGTGGACGAACAGGTCTCATGGAGATGGACAATATGACGCATAGCAGGAGGAGGGGTGCGGTAAAAAGGAGTAAGAGCAGAATCGAGGACAACTACTGGCCGGTTCGGGATCCCTCTCTTCATCCCCCCCCCCCCCGGTCTTGCGAGAAGCTGATCAGATCACCTTCTAGAAACAATTCCATTTCATAAACTTTTTTCTTTCCTGCATCTTCATCCCACCCCTGATCCTGGAACCCCTGTTGCTGCTGGGAAAATAAAAAGAATCAGGCGGGATGAGGTGGAGGGATGTGGGAGATCGGCTCGCCCTGGCCGAGACCGAAGTCTGGATGTTCGCCGTGAGCTCAGCAACCATGCCACGGAATGGCTTGGATGGGTTAGAAGAGCTCGGGCTGGGGCGCAACTAGGTAGTTGTCGCTGCGCAAAAGAGTTGGGACAAGGTTTTGGGTCGTGAAACTCCACATCAGGTGGTCGTAGAAGCTTGGGTGGGGAGGAAAGCAATGCAGAGTAAGGTCAGGGCTCAAAGAGAAACATCGGACTGCGCAGATCGAAGGTCTTTGCGCCGTGCGGCGTGCCGGTGGCGCGCTCGTGGCATTGGGGAGGAGGAAGAAGAAGAAGAAGAAGAGGGGCATTGATCTCTTCTTTTCCCATGTCCAGGGGTCCGGGGAAGAAAGCTACGACGCATGAACAATGGGATAACTGACCGAGAAGATCTCGTCTGGCGCGATTCATAGGACGAAGTACGGCAAAGTGGGGGAGGGAAGAAGGGACGACTCAACGAGACACCGGGGGAAACGTAGAACGCGCTGCGACGATGAGAGCCTGGATAAGAGTTACGTTGATTCCTGTGCTGTGGTTCGCCAGATTGTGATGAGTCCTACTTTGACGATGACGATGGAAAGACGAGAAGTCGAAGTTGAGAGAGAGGCAGTATCATGGCTGCCGGGGTACTGGGTAAGGTACCCTGGCCCGGGTGAAGAGGTTAAAAGTGGGGTCGCGTCTATCGCCCAAAGGCCGAACCGCACGGCCGACCGCCGAAGGGCCGTCGTCCACCGTCGCGGTGCCGTGGGCTCCTGGGCAGCCTTCCATTCCCGCCAGAAGCTCTTCCAGCCACGGTTCAAGCCACGAATGAGTTGCTGCCATTGGTCCAAGGAGGAGACCAGAAACCGGCTGCCCAATGAGGTCTCAGGTATTCTCTGAACTGTCCACTCACCGCTGCCTCTTGGGGGGCCTGGGGCCGCGCAAACGGGCCGCTGGTAACCCCACCGTGGCTACGCCGAAAACGGGAACCACAGCCCCGAACGGACCGGCCGGTTCTGCGACCGCTGGACGTTCATGTTGTTCGCGCGCCCCACTTTCTTCCCTTTTCTGACGTCTATCAGGCTCTGGGTTCCATGAGAAATCCAACTTTACCAAATCACAGCCTTCCTCTGGCCGCATCACCGGCCGCATCACTCCAACTGTCGCGGCCCTTTGGACCCGGTCCATTTTGCTGTGCAGTGTGCTCCTACGACCGTCATAAACACCTCACAAGGCTTTCTTCGAAGCATAGTACGGCTGTTCTCTCTGTGGTTCCAAACTCCCGGAAATCGGTTGGAACGCCTTACAAGCCAGAGGGAAGGGGGTCCATGGCCGAGAGGCCTCACGACGGTCCTGGTCTACCTTACCCTAGGCAGTTGGGTATTCGGACTCGTTCGCTGCAACCTAGAACCAACCAGGCTTCAACGACAGGGTCATCATGGCACCTTATTCGTCTTCTTGTACGGCTCCCGATAACTGGCCAATCGCTTTGATCGACGATGGTGTGAATAGATTGAGGCCCGTTGGACTTGACATCGGCCTCTGCAGCACTTCCTCAGCCGCAGAAGCCTTTAACGGACTGACCGGCAGTGCTTGAACATAGCCAAGCATCAACGGCTTCCCCATGGTTCCTTAGGCAGACGACAGGGGCAAAAGGGGCTTCGCAGGATCACTGATAGAGGCATACGGCGGCGTGATCTATTCATAGTCCATGTAAGTGCCGTCGTGTCACCATGGGAATTGGGAGTCATCCGTCGTACAGGCGCGATAGCCGCCTGCGTGAGCCCATCTCTCGGGACTCAGCAACCTTTCTGACTTCAGAGGAAACAGGGTTCCAAGTGTGACGTATCTCGGCAAAGAAAAGTGTACCAAGTCTAGACGGGGGATGCCTGGGCATGAGCAGGGCGGTGTACCTTTATGTCACATGACGCCAGACTGACGATGGTGATCGATGGGTAAGGATGAAACTCGTAGTCACGCAGTGGTGATTATACAGCTTGAGAGGCATACCTAGCGGACAAGTAGAGAGGTCGAAGTATGATTTGTATTCGGGTTACAAAAAGCCGCGCAATCGTCTCTTGGGCGGAAAGTGGTGAGTTTAGGGTTATCGGCACAGGGGGGTCATCTGATGTCTACTGCCGAGCGGGAGATGCCCCCATCTTCAGTCGCTTCATAGCGTACACTTCGGTCGGCCTCTTTCTGATCCACGTGCAGTTGCTTTTCACCAGTCCAATAAAGCTTCCGCCTGCATAACTCTGTATCATACGCGATTGATAACGACCTCACAATGACTCTGACATTTCAGGTTCCGATTGAACTGGCAATGTTGATAGCAAGTCATAGAGTCATATTGTTTGACAACCAAGCGGATGCCGTAGGTGATGAATGAGAGGTTCTGAAATCATTGTCCAAACGCTTCACAGTATTGCTGTGCCTCTTCGGAAACAAAAAGGTGATTCTCAATCAGGTGGCCCCTTATCTTCCCAATACTACTCTTTTCAGAAAGGTGAGTCTTACGATGCCTCGCCTACTTGCGAGGCTTGACCGACCACGCCTTTTCCTTAAATCGAACCACGCGACCTGAAGTGTGATCAGTTTCAAAAACCTGCCTCCTAAGAACAACATCCATGATGACTCCAATCTGAAGCAAAGCCAAACAACACGTGAGAATACCACACAACTGCGTGACAACGGGGCTGTAATCGGCGTGAACGGCATACACGGTAGGCATAGCCGCCAGAGACCAACCCGCAACGTAACAAAAGGGCAGAATCGGCAAGACAAAAATGCTCCTCCATCCGTTGAACCACTCGCGGTACCGGTACGTCATGGAGATTCCCAAGAACACGGCCGAGACGTTGCAGAACGCCCACCAGCATGGGAACAGACTAAACAGCACGAGAGGCTGGTGGCCGTAGTAGAGGTACAGCCCGCCGTAGTTGAGCAGGCACTCCTCCAGAACGACGTCGAACAGCCCCGCGAGGCCGAGCAAAACGAACAGCGTCTTATTGCTCACTCCGCGCATGAGGGCGCCAAAGATGGTGCACCCGAGGACGGCGCCAAAGGACCACCAGATGATGCCGACATATAGGTCGAACTCACGGCCGAGAAAGGTGAACATGAGCTGGGACGGGTCGTGGGACTGCGACCAGTAGCAGTTTGCGAGGTAGTTGTCCACGGCCTCGGGCAGGACGCAGGTTGCGGCGCCGAGGGTCAGGGCCGTGGGCACGGTGGAGGACCAGCGCTTGCTCTCTGTGAGGGAGATGAGGACGAAGGTCAGGGAGAGGGCGAGGAGGATGGCTGATACGACGCGGACATGAGATGCGTCTTGGCCGAAGGCGTCGTTTGGGGGGGCGATGGTGCGAAATGTCGAGTCGAATGAGACTTTGACTTGGGCGTATGAGTGGCAGCATAAAGAGAACTGAGGCTGCGGTGAAGATCGGCCGGTTGAGAAGCTGTTTCATGTTGTAGTTCTGTTGTTCTGGGAATGAGGATGTAAGACGATATACAGTATGATTGAGGTTCGAGGAGTTGGATAAGTCGAATAAATGAAGAGTGTCCCAGCTAGGATCAGTACGTCAAAAGCGTGGTATAAGTGAAAATGCCTTTTTTATATCTCCAGGCGTCTGCATTGTTCCGAGTCCGTAAGTTCGGAACCGAACAAACCCTTCCAGCATGAGGCTGTGATCGGGAATTTCCCACATGCAGGCATCCGGCCACGTCCGGAGAGCCCCTTGCCACGTGGCTACAGAAGTTAAAGAAAAATATCGAGATGACGTATCAATAGGCCATCTCAGAGGAACGGGATCCAGCAAGTTGCCGCAAGAACTTGCGACGTGATTCCACGATACCGAAAGCGGTAGTTCGGAGCCGAGCTTGCGATGCGGCTGGCCCGATGGATTAGTATTTGACCCCGGATAGACTGCAGTTCGCCTCTAAATACGATCCACGGAGGATATGATTCATTGAATAGATCGTTTAAACAATCCCAGCATCTCGTTCTCAGGTCGTTTCTTCGTTATTTCTCATAAAAAGCCTGTGGTCAAATTACCCGGCTTGGAGGCGTATGGCCTCTCAATATAACACATTTCTGCTGCGTGGTATGAGCACGCCCAAACTCCATATACCCCGATCTATGGCCAGAATCTACGACTAAAAAGAAAAACAACGAACGTAATGAAATGGGTATATCAAATCGCCTACATCACCTTGCCCCTACGATCCCCCGCCTCTCCTCCCGCCCCCTTTTCTTCCCTGTCGCCAGCAGAGCATTCTGCCGGCGGCGGAACTTGATCGATTGAGTGATTCGAGTGCGACATGATATCAATCGTTGTACGAACATTAATGACCGGCCTGTCGCGCGCATGCGTCTCCTGGGCGTGACTTCTCTGACCGAGATCAGAAGACGGCCTCGACGCGTCGTACTCCTCGTACTCGTCCCGCCCGTCGTCCCGGACCGTCTTATTCAGCTCGATATCGGACCCGGTGCCGGACAAGGCCCGGTCAATGTCGTTGAATGTTCGTACGGTGGAGTTTGAATTTTCGGACTTGCCTCCCCTGGCCACGGCGCCGGACGTTTCCTTTGTTCCTGGGTGGCCGCTCGTGTTGACCCAGCCCGCGCCCGACGGACGAGATTGCTTGCTCTTGTTGCTCCATCCGAAGCCCCAGTTCTGGAAGAGAGGTCGGAGACTGGTGACCGAAGCCGCGATGATGCCTAGCGCGGGCTCCAGGACACTCCAGATGGCGACGTCACTGTCGAAGGAAAAGGTCAGCCAGGTGCTCCTGTCAAGTCAGGCATTTGGGGACATACATTGTTTCGTAGAGGAAGTCTGCCGAGATGGCGAGACGTCTCACATATGGTATGCGTACTATGAGAGCAACGCCAGCACTAGATGTTTGTCAGAAACAGGATGCTACGCCACGCTATTGGAAATGTTTTGACTTACACCATACCCATGCTCAGGAGAACGGCAACGAGTGCCTTTGTCCGCCGGTTCAAGTTGACGTTCCACAAAAGGGCAATCGGTAGCAGACCCATGCACCAGTCTGATATCGCCGAGATGATGCTGTGTGCAATGGTCGCGTCCGGGACAATGTTAAAGTTGATACAAGACCCCGGATCGCCGTACAGTTGCCTCCAAAAGTAGGACGGGGGCATGCACTGGAAGGTCATGATGCAGAAGAAGGCGATGGAGATCATCCAGACGACGACGAGGTTGGCGTAGATGATCCAACGGTGGACTTTGTTAAGAGCGAGACGGAGGAGCAAGAGGCAAATCGAGGTTCGGATCGCCAGCGTGATTGGGGAATATAGGACTTCGCAGATGTACCAGGCTCTGAGGGAGACGGCGGCTTGGTCGACTGTGAGCTCCGTGATGTGCTTTCCTGTGGCACCGTTGGTTATGCCGTGGAGGGCGATGCCACCGTATGCTGTGTAACCAAGCTGCGAGGTGTTCATGTAAGTGGTAGGAAGGGGCGAATGCGAGGATCGGGCAAAGTACGGACCATGGCCCCGAAGATAAGCCAGTCATCGACGGCTAAACTCTTGACGATGCATACTTTGACGTAGGCTCTAGCCAAGACGAAGAAGCCGGCCGCGAGCATAAAGGACAGCTGGACAGCAAAGAGCTGCATGCCTCTGTATTGGATGTCATCGTGCGGAACTCGTGTTTCTAGTGAGCCGTCCATATTGTAAGTCGAGGTGGCGAAGTATGGCTCAGGCAAAACACCAGAGATATCGGGGCTCCCTGTGCCACGGAAACGCGGATGGCGAGAACTTATAAGCCCTCCCACTCTCAGCCTGGCGTATGTGGCCCAACTTGCGCCATCCCATATGTCAAAAAAGAATACTCAGTGGGGGGTAGGGAGCTTAGAGAGGAAAAAGAAAACGCCCCTACATGTACCGGCTCCCCACGAGGAGACCAGGTCTCGAGAGTGTATCTCTCTCAACTACTTTAAATTAAAACACCCCAGGCCCAAATCGTATTCTTCTCCATCTAAAGATTGCATGTTCCAGAAAACCTTCTTTTACAACGAAATCTCGCTTCTGAAATCTTGATCTTGAGGCCAGGTTCTCCGTGCCGATAACCCGTGGCTAACACCGCCATTTCGATAAAAACGATAGCCAATACACCATGCAAAAGATGGAAAAGCAAGACCTTCAATCGGGTCACTTGCTGGCTTAGCAGTACATCTGCGCCATAATGGAGAGACAGGACGCAACTTGCAGCTGCCGCGAGGAAGCAGGGTTCAGGACAGCCACGCCCACGTCCAGGGTTTGACTGGGATTGACAAGTTCAGGGTCGCCCACCAGGCCTGCATATACGCACAGAGAAATTGCTAGTCGCCAGGCGCACGACAATTTTCTCTCCGGTAGTTCCGCGACTCCGAGTGGTTCTTGTTCATCTGCAAGACAGATGCTTTGGGAGAAAGCGAATCCACACTTGGAGAAAAGAAAACCCCACAAAGTAGGTAATACGGGGTCAAGTGGGATGATGCCAGTCCTACACTAGGGTCGGTTTCTGACTGGGCCATTTCAGACGAAAAGGGTTCCTCTCCTCCGGACCAACGATGCCGAGGACCCAAAAAGCATGGCTCTGTTGCCCAAGAATCTGACAGGTATGATACGCCGTAGCGAGTATGTGACAGGAATGGGGTTGTGATAGAGGTTTGATCAGCTTTGTCACGCCAGAGGCTATTGATTTCCTCGAGAACCACATCAAACCAGTAAATGTTACCTCACAGACCCAGCCAGTCTGTGATCAGGATGAGATTCCCTGTATGACTGTTAAATTGTTGATCTCGTGGTATCCGTACATGCCTCCCAGTCGAATGCCCGATATGAAAGCGGAGATGTGTTCCAAGGCCCCGGATCGTGACCAGGTTCCAGGTCGCGGACCAGAGGGACAGCGTCATATCTCGAAGCTTCAAAAGTGCGAAATGTGCAAGCAGCGAGAATGTGTTGTTATGATCCTACTAGATAACTGGTGGCGAGAGGCCGTAGCTCTTGATCGACAGTGAGAACCGTCAGTCCGCATTGACTTATTTTATCTCCTAGAAAAAGAAATCATTAGTCGGAGCAGCAAGTTGGAGACCACAAGAGTCGAGACTCGATGCTGGCTCTCTCAGTTATCGTTTATGACCAAGTATTCAGCCTGCTGGTAAGCAGACAAGATCCCGATAACCACGCATTTTATTGTGCATCAGGATGATTCGTCAAGGAATGCTTCGCAAAAAGGTCCCTCGGTGCATGTCTTGCCCTGAGTATTTTGCCTTTGGGAAACGGGCGGTTGCGATTCGGCCGAAGCCGAAGGACCATCATTGTCCGTACATGGGGTACGCTGATGATACCCCTACTGGAAACTGCAATAATCTGGAAGAGTTTTCTCGGTCTCGAGGGCTGCCTGTCGGTCGGCAAGTTTGTCCATCGTACGATCCGAAAGAAGGCAGAGTAAGCCAGAGTGGACGACATGGATACCCGAGTGAAGTTAGATTGGATCGGTGGATGGGCAGCAACGGAGGACAATACTGTCTCAGTGTATCGGCCGTACGAAGAACCACTCGTTAGTTCAGCCCTTCCCGCGGCGGGACCAACGTTCGTTTAGCCAAAAAGGCTGGCGAGTCATTGCCATCGGCCGACGAATGCGAAAATTGCCAGTACGTGTGTGGGCCAGGTCCTGCGGAACCGCGAAGTCCAACGGGGAAGCTTAGCCAGGCAGAGCCGGTGCAGGCTGACTGGTTGACTGACCTGTCAAATGCTGGAAGAGAGGGGCGGGCAGACAGTATCGGATTATGGCCATGGGTGTATTGGAAAATGCCTCCAAGCAAATGCCGTGGCGGTCAGACGGTCTAGAGGAGGAAAGTCGAGGATGAAAGCAGAAAAGAAAGTTGATGTTGGATGGAGATGGAGGAGGTCCAACGAGACCGAAGCAAACACCAGGGTAGTACAGGCCGGGGGAGCCTGCCGGAGCCAGGGGTATTGGTTGGATTCGCCAATCGAGGAAGCTCCAGGGTGGGATAATTAGCAGGCGTTACTTTACGCCAGGCACGTTGCAACGAACCTTGTTCACTCAGGTCCCAGCAGCTCCTCAAGTTTGAAGTTGGCAATGCCGGGCAGAAGCCGCGGTGGCATCCAACGCGGGACTTGTTTGCTTGTCAGTGTCAATCAAATTGCACTGACAGAGCGAGGTGCATTGAACAGCCGGCCGAAGGATCCCTAGGTAACCGGGCGAATGTAACTTGGTGAGAAATAATTGGGGTCAGTCGCTCATCGTATCAGGCCCACGGGGCAGAGTCGAGTTCGATCAGATCGCCCCCGACTGACAGCTCAAATGGTGAACAATGCGCTCGATCCTGCAATCTGCTTCACTGGCGCTTACGTGGACCACCTCAAGAGTCGAAAGTAGGCTGGACCGAATTTCTGCTCACTGACCAGATCATCGTAGAGATCCTACCATCTTAGCTTCCTGCCCATTCCTTTTGTTGGGTGCGAGTGTGCGAGAACTGATCGATGTGAAGGCAGGATCGAGAATGCCGTTGCGCTAAGTCGACGAGCATCAAATCCTCAGGCTAAATGATATATCACTTCTCAACAACGGCTTTTGTGGCCCGTTGTCTCCAACAACGACAACAGCTAGGTCCGTCAATGTGAGAGAATTGGCGCTTTTGGCGACTGGGCTCCCTGCTCCTCTCTGAGGGCTTTGGCCGCCGAACGCCATTCTCTCGGGAGAGGCTTGCCTGCTACACGCGCCACTTGAAGCAGTCGGCGGGTTCTAAGCTTCTCTGTCTCACTCGCTGAAGATAGCTGCCGATTCATGATTCACAGCCACTTGGTGATCAAGTTGATAAACCAGTGGAGTATCCGATAATGGTTGATTGGCAAGTGGCAATGAAGATAACGCCTCAAATTTAAAGGCGCCCGTCAGCATTTGAGGTCCGGCCCAAAACACAGACAATCCGATGACCGGTTGACCGGGTCCCATGACAGCAAACATCAAAGACCTCAGGGCTCAGGCGTGGCGTGTTTGCTTGTCCTTCTGTGCCGCATGTCAAATACACATTCAAAATTAAAACCTCAGTGTCCCGAGGTTGGCCCGTCAGGAAAAAGAAAGCGAACGGCGAGTGGTCAGATTATGACGTGGTTTGCATGAGCGGGGGTTGGGCACATATATTCCGAAGAGGGAGGGGAAACGCCGGCAAAGTCAACGATAAGGAGCTGTATTATTGATCCACACGGCCGGGAGAGTGTGGTCATGTCGGTGCATTGGGCCTTCCGTCCGGGAGGTATTCTGCCCTCGGCTCACTCCGTATCGGGCCCGGCTGCGGGGTACCTTACGAGGACGGAACGGCAGTGAGGTGGGGTCTCGAGCTTCCGGGGCGCATAGGCCCTCCCGCCGACACTATCTCCGAACGTCTTCCATCATGAGATGACAACGTCATTGCTAAAGCTGATATCATGATCTAGTATGCGAGACGCGCCGTGGCGACTGCCTGAAGCCTTGGCATGCGATGCACAGTGTTCAATCGAGACAGACGGAGACCATTGCGGACGAATTGTCCCGCCCTCGAGTTACAAAGCTCAACCGAATGTGCAGGCGGACGGTTGTCTCCGGGCTCCCATGCAATGCATCGAATTGCTGAGTGTGATCAGAAGATCGAGAGCCGCAAAGCTCCTACTCTCGGAAATTCAACCAATTATTTGCGCATCCATGTGAGGGAAGGAAATAGCGCCTGAGCCTAGACCGTACAATGTTTCTGCAATTGCAGTCACCATGACGTCGTTGATGAGGTATGTGGGTAACCGTTCTGCCTATGCACCTACCTCCTTCTAGGTACCAAACTTATCTTGACGACACGATGGGTAGTAGCTTCCTTTCTGTCTCTGCTTCGGTCGTTATAATTCTTTCCCCTTGAAGTCCCATCCTTCCTAGCATCTTGATCATTGCTCATCTATCTACACCTCTGTGCATCCGCAGACTCAGTAATTGCTCACAATCACAATGACAGACAAATCACAATTCGAGGAAGGTACGTTATTTTGCCATGACATTGTACAACAGAGAGAAGCTCACAAGTAGCTACAAGGCTACAAGGTGCCGGTCACTGACCAGAGCTTCCCCGGCAAGGAGGGAAAGCTGCCCGTCACCCCTCTTTTCGACAGAGTCCCAACTGCTGATGGCGGCTCCAAATTGTATCAAGCTGCAGGGAAGCTCGAAGGCCTGAAAGCTGTCATCACTGGTGGTGACTCTGGTATCGGTCGCGCCACAGCAATTCTCTTTGCCATGGAGGGTGCCGATTCGCTCATTGCGTATCTTCCTGACGAGGAGGAGGATGCTCAGGAAACCAAGAAGCGTGTCGAGTCCTATGGCCGCAAATGCCACCTCATTGCGACTGATATTACTGATGCCGCCAATTGCCACAAGATTATCGACACTGCGCTGGAGAAGCTCGGCGGTATCGACATCCTTTTCAACAATGCCGCATACCAGATGATGGTTGAGAACATCAAGGACTTGAAAGAGTGAGTTGTACAAGCCGGCTCGCTGCGTTTCCCGCGCACTAACAGACATTGCAGGGATCAGTGGATTCACACCTTCAACACCAATATTCACCCCATTTTCTACCTTTCTAAATACGCCTTACCTCACATGAAGAAGGGCGCAACCATTATCAACAACGCCAGCATCAACGCTTATATCGGCCGTCCTGATCTCTTGGACTACACCTCTACCAAGGGCGCCATCATCTCCTTCACTCGCGGTTTGAGCAATCAGTACTGCGACAAGGGCATTCGCGTCAACGCGATTGCACCCGGTCCAGTCTGGACCCCGCTGATCCCCGCGACCATGAACGAAAAGGCTCAAAAGGAGTTCACGAGTCCCATTGGACGCCCGTCGCAGCCTTCAGAGATCGCGACGTGTGTGGTTTTCCTTGCTTCCACCGACAGTGCAAGCATCACGGGACAGACAATCCACTGCAATGGTGGGGTCATTGTTAACGGTTAAAGAGGGAAGCGAGACATTTTGTGCTACATAGATACTGTACGCTCGGTACGGGTCCTGGTTGCTTAGACATGGTGACCTGAATATCAAGGTCTAGAGAACAAGTTAAGAATTCCATGATCACGACTGTTTACTACGTGAAACTAGACGGGGACCGTGGCCATCTCCATATTCTACTCTGATTCCGAGAAGGAATCAAAGAGCCTCAGTTGCGGCGACCATTAAGCATGTGTTAGTAGTCGTCTTTTGCGGTGACCACATCCATCTCCGTAAGGATTGATTCGGCCAACGGCAAGGTCCTAGGCGGGAACGCTACCCACAAGAAGTTGAATAGCGTGGATGAAACAGGGGACTGGGATGAAACGAGACCAACCACAGGTCGCCAATCGCCCACCAACAGGAGGGGCGAGGGGCAGATGAGAAGCGCGTCGTGTTGCGTGCATGACCTGCATTTCTAGTGTGGTTCTGGTGCATATTGGTCGATATTGGGACGTATTTGCGCTGGATTGACAAGTTTGCCCTCATTGGACGATGACGGATCGAATCTTGTCTAGGTCATGTGAACCGTCAACCCCCTTTATCTTGCTTTCAATGTCAACACGATGTTGATATTTAGGAAAAGCTACTTTGGCGGGGAAAAGTGCACCGACCGAGCCGATCATAGGCGATGCCTAGCTGTCCATGTGCGATTGGCGTACGGATACCTAGTGCTGGTCCAACGACATGTGTGTGCCATGTTTACCTTGGTCGCAAGACAGGCTGTCAACACGCGCATGCAGCTTATTGGATTCCCCTGGGCATCAGCACACGTATCGCTGTTGAGCCGCAGACCGTGACTTGGTTTCTATTCTGTTACATGACACGTCGAAGTTTGTTGGGGTTCTACACTATCTATGGCAAACTGCTGGAGCCTTGACGTCGTTCCCGCTGGCGGGCCAGAGTCATGCTGCGGTAGGTATCCTACTGCAAAATAGGCAGCGGGACGCAATGCAAACAAAGATCTCTGGGAAACTCTATTACTGCGTCGTGGTAATGGAGCGGGCCGCTGCTAAGGCAAGACAGAACGACTATGAGTATGACGAAGCAGATAATCTTGTACTCTGCTATGCCAGGAAGTAAGGTCCCCTTTGTCTAGGATCTCTTTCCTGGACAGGCGGACGGCCAATGGCACGCCAAGGCTGAGTCTGGGGGTGCTCGGCCCCCAAGAGCAGAAGTAATTTCTACCTTTTCTTGTCATGTCCTTACGCCCTCATTCCCAGGAAAGGCTGGGCTATGCGAAGTACTGGGAACTTTGTCTCCAGATGTGACCAGAAACGGCCCCTCCTCCAAAAAAGACGTGTCGCGCTTTCCCCTTCCCTCCTGCTTCCCTGTCGCAGGCCCATCCCTTCATTTTCCCTCTCCCCCTTCCAGAATAACTCATCTGGTCTGCTTGTTTTGGGCTGAGCCACCCACACATTCTCCGTCTGTTGTTTTCCTTCTTTTTCTCTCTTCTGCAACAAGAGCTTCGCCAATCCTCTTCATGTCATTGTCTCTCTGGCCCTGCTGAGCTTTCTTCTTGCAACTGCTTGAACCCCTCGAGCCGTGCACAAACAACAGCTCCAGCGAGCCCACTCCACCAATACCAAGTAAACAAACCGTCATTTTCGCATCGCATTCCCGTCGCATTCCTCACGTTCGAATACCCAAAGGCTACCATGGCCGCCGCAACGTACAAGCAGTTTTTGACTGCTCCCAACTCGTCGCTGCTCGCGCCTAACGCGACGCTCTACTACATTACCACCACTACCACTTACAATGGTCCTACCGATATCATCAAGCACCTCAACACTTTGCGCAACCAGGTGAAGAAGAAGAAGGAGGAGATCCTGGACATTGTTGAGGGCCGCGATGCTATCGCTGCAGAGGTTGACACTACTCTGGAGTTTGTGACCAGCGGCGGCGCATACCTGCCTGGTCTCGATGACAACTTCCTGTCTGACCGGACTGTCTACCTTCCGATTGTTCGTGCTACACCGCGTCCTTGGTTCTGGAGATTCAACCTGGCTAACCGCTCCGTTGTCAACAGATGCACGTTGTGAACTTCGATAGCGAGGGCAGGATCGCCCAGATTCGCCAATCTTGGGACCAGGGTGCCCTCCTCAAACAGTGCGATATCATTGGAAAGTCGGGCCGCAATTGGCCCATCCGCGACAGCACCGAGCAAATCAAGTTGATCACCAAGGGCTTGAAGGCCAACGGCAAGGTCGATGCCCCGGCTCCCGACTTCAACGAGTTGACCCATCGATCGCGAGGCAGCTCAACCAATGTGCTCCGAGACCCCCATGCTTCTCTTTCTCTGTTTGCGCCTAGAGAGGAGCAGGAGGAAGAGGCACCCCGAGCTGTCGTGTCACCTTATGCGGGTACTCGACCTCAGCAACGGTCCTTCAACGATATTCTCGGCCCCCAGCACGAGGAACCCAGCTCCCCCAGCGCCGGACGCGAGCGCGATGAGTCTCCCAGCAAGTTTGGCGCTCCTAAGGCTGGAGCCGGAAAGAACTTCCAGCCCAGTCGCTTGTTCGACGCCGACGAGCACGCAGATGTGCCTGACAGCCCCGAGCAGAAGTCTCCCGAAAAGTTCTACAGACCCAACCCCAAGAAGTTCCAGCACTTTGACTTCGCCGATGGCTCAGACCCGCAAGATACTCCCAAGCCCGCCGAGGGTCGTCCCAAGGCTAGCAAGCACGACAGCAGTTGGTCTTTCGACGATTTCACGACGCCGCAAAAGATTAAGCCCGGAAAGACACTGCGCACTCAAGACGTCCGCCACTGGGATACCGATGTGAACAACTCGGCGATTAAGGAGACACCTGTCGCCCGGCAGCAACAGGTCAAGGGACGCCGCGACGCTGAGGCGCACTTTGATTTCGAGGATGATGGCCCGCAAAAGACACCGCGTCCCGCAGGCCGACCCAAGGGCTCTGCGCACAACACTGGCCTTCACCTGTATGAGAACAACTTGTACAGCGAAGATGGCAAGCCCCTTCCTGGAACCGACTCTGACCGCGCATTGGGTAACATTACAAACCTCAACCATCGTCACAAGGACTTTGACCCCCATTTCGCCATGACAGATGACTCGCCGACCCAGTCGGGCCAGCAGGGGCGACCCGCAGTCAGCGACTCCCGCAAGAAGGTGGTTAGCAACATGGACTCCCACTGGGATTCATATGACGAGTCTCCCGCCTCTCAGAAGGAGAACAAGCCCCAGGTCTCCTCAAAGGGCAAGGGCGGTATTCACATCGCTGGAGACGGCATGGGCTCGAAGAAGGCCAAAGACGAGAAGGAGGGCGACTCGAAGGGCATTCACATCGCCGGTGACGGCATGGGTGGCAAGAAGGGCACCAACCGCAACTGGCTCTATGGAGATGACGACGTCGAGGATATTCCCAAGGCTGTTCCTCCCAAGGGTGGCTCAGGCTTGACCTCGGCCCAAAAGAGCTTTTGGGACTTCTGAGCGCGACAGACGGACACCCTGGCATTCATCAATAGACGAAGCCAGCGCCACTGGCCCGGTGTCTTGCCTGTTCTTGTTACGATTAAATGTATTGTGCACGCTGCCCACGATTCACGGGAGCGTTTTATTGCTGTCAGCTTGCTTTCCCTTTCCCGACCAGTCAACATTCCATGATAGTGTCGCGTGATGGAGTGGTTCTCGGACTACAGGAAGCAGGATATCTGGCTAAGAATATCTGGATGTAAAATTGCTGTACCGTACCACCCATGAGAGAGAGAAAGAGAGAGGGGAAGATGGAGGAGAAGTTTTGAAGTAGGGGCGAGCGGAGGGCGAGGAAGAAAGTTCAGAATAGGTTCCTCTACCGCTTGTATTGTTGTACAGACATAGCCCATAGCCCATGATATCCAACAGACCGAACACTTTTCTACCTATTTGATTTATTGACGAGGATACTACTGTGAAGGATTGACACGGTGACGGTCAGGTCAGGCTCCTGAGCCTCGTGAGTACCTGAAGTCAATTTTATCACGCTGCCTGTTATTGTGTAGAACGGGCATTGAGTAACCCAGTCTTACGGTAACCCGACCCCCGCTAGCGCCTTCCCTTGCCCATCCCCATTTCTTGCTTTTTCTGAGAGTAGGGATGCGGTCTGTTGTAGGCAATGGGCCATGAGGTTACATGATGCAGACAGGAAATATTTATTGCGTCATCCCCATTCTAGCAGAGAGCCATTTTGATGATCATCTTCGTTTCATCCAACTCTGGCGGATATCTTCAAGTACCTTACCTGGGTTGGCATACAAACATACCATGGCATCAACATGAAATAACTCGAAAAAAGTGTACCAACACCTCCCTCCCACAAAATATCCATACGCCACGCTGTTTATATCCCTCGCTTCCATATCCCGTAGGAAGAAAATGAAAACATCAAAACAAATAAAGAGGTTCTTCACCCAGCACATGAGTGCTCAACACAAAAACTTGTACACACGCTTCCACCTGGGCCACGACCGTCTCTCCTCCTGCTCCTGAGCAACCAGGATACCGAGGTTAAAGTCCCGCCGGCCCGTGGTGACGTCCATGTCCTCGATACGGATAAAGACGGTCCGGAAGTAAAATTTGTGCGCGACGTACATGATGGCCACGATAGGGAACGCGGCATACCGCAGGAAAAAGTTCTTCGCGACTGACTCGGCGTCCCAGGTCTCCCAGCCGACGGGGAAGGCACCGACCCAGAACTGGGCGATGAGGACGAGGACGTTCATGATGAGGCCGCACCACGAGCCGATGACGCCGACCTGGGAGCGGAAGGCGAGCTCGTGCAGGCCGTGGCCCTTGCGGGCCCAGGCGTGGCGGAAGCGGATATGACAGAGGCAGATGGAAGCCCAGGTGAAGATGGACGAGAGGCCCGAGATGGCGAGGAGCCAGTCGAGGACCTGGTCCTGCTGCTTCAGGTCGGCGAGGTAGGCGAGGAGGCCGACGGCGGATGCAACGCCGATGGCCGTCAGAGGGCGACCTTTACGGTCGACGTACGAGAGGAAACGCGGGGCTTGGTGCTGGTCCGCCAGCGCGGCGAGGGTTCGAGAGGAACCAAACACGGCCGAGTTGCCGACGGAAAGGACGGCGATGAGGATGACGGCGTTCATGACGGAAGGTAGAATATCAATCTGGGCGTTCTCGATGGCAATTACAAAGGGGGAAGCGGTCGCATCGGCGGAGGAGGAAGCACCGAGGAGACGGGCCTCGTCGTAGGGCACAAGAAGCCCAATCAGAGTGAGGGCCACTACGTAAAACAGGGTGATGCGCCAAAACACCTGCTTGATGGCGGTTGGGAGGGATTTGCGAGGGTTTGCCGCTTCGGCCGCTGCCAGACCAACCAGCTCAGTGCCAGCAAAAGCAAAGGCAGCGGTGACAAAGACGCTACAGAGGCCTTTGAATCCATTGTGAAATGCGCCTGGTGTTTGCCAGAAGCGGCCGCCGATATAGCCCGAGTCTGGAGTCCCGCCGCAGTTGAGAACGATTCCTAGCAAGCTATGTCGTAGTCAGAAACTAGGAACCCCCCCCTACGACAATGGAGAGGAGACGGAGACTTACATGAAGCCAATCACCGCGATGATCTTGATGATTGAGAATATGAATTCGGCCTCACCATACCCTTTAATACCAAAGAGGTTGATAGCGACGATACCGATAAGGAAGATGGTGACAAAGTAAGCCTTGGTTATGCCCTCCTGCCAGTACGTTATTGTGATTGCAGCCGCAATGATTTCGAGGGGTAGTACAATAAGCCATTGCAGTGCATAGCTATGTGATTCGTCAGCGGTCTATTCATTTCTTTATGGCGCTCACGGATGATGCGGGCGGGTGGCTGCGTATACTCACTTCCACCCCATGGCAAAACCCCATGATGGGTCCAGAAATCGCGTGGAGTATGCCGAGAACGAACCTGCAACGGGGAAAGCAACAGCCAACTCTCCCAACGCCTGACAAGTGCAGTATAACATTGCGCCCACGAGCGAGAAGGCAATCAGCAACGACGCCGGCCCGCCCACCTCGAGCGCCTGTCCAGAAGCTACGAATAGTCCCGTGCCGATGGAACCGCCAATGGCAATCATCTGCAAATGCCGGCCCTTAAGCTTTCTCGAGAGGAGGGAGTGCGAGGTCTGCAAGTTGGCGAGGCGGATATCGTAGTAGTGCACGCCGTTCAGCACCCTCTCGTGACCGGGCTCGAGGTCCAGGGACGAGTTGCTCTTTGGCCTGTGGATGCTGCCGTCGGACATCTGGGTCGGCGCGCGTCTGAAGCTCTCGAGCACACGGCTCAGGACGCCCGGCGCGGGGCTGGGGTCGTAGATAGGTTCCCGCCGCATGCTGTAGCTGCTCCCGAGGGTGAGGGAGTCTTCCTTGATCTTGATCGCACTGAGTTCCACGTCCTCGTTGTACGGCGCCATCCCCGATTTCGCAGCGTGTCGGTATGTAAATGGTAGATGTCAAGACTAGTCGGGGTCGTCGTCTACACCGCTCGCCGGGGGGGGGGGGGTACTATTGAATCTGGCTCTGAGTCCGGTCGTGCGTTCGAATTGCTATCATGTATATCGGTCGATCGTGAGATATGGCGTTTGTGTGTCGGGTCGCTCGTTCGGTGAGACTTGGCGCACTTCAGGCATCGGTCACCTCCGTCGAGAATCGCATGCCTGTTGCCGAGGGTATCTAGATTCGCGGAAGCAAGGTCTGACGCCGATAAGATGCCTGCAGATCGTCTCGAAGTATTGGCGTAATCGTTCGCAGAGAGCGTGGAGAGTTCGCGGATTGAGAAAGTTGGTCGGTCTTGAAGTCTATGCCGCACACCAGGAGAAGGACAACGTTTCCGTGTACTAGTCGTTGCGACGAAAAGCGACGGACTGCCGCCACCTAAAGGGGTTGGGTGACTGAGCGTGTGTGGTGAGGCTTATCATGCTGGGCCGACCAGCGCAGTTGCCGCATTGGCGTTGAAAGGTGACAGGATGGGATGGCTTGCTGGTCTAATCTGGTGACAAGGATACCCCCCCCGACTGACAGACAAGAGTTCCAAGACGCCTCTTTCGGACCTTCAGAACGTCGGCGACAGGATGAACTGGCTCGGCTTGGGGGTGCGACACTGGCGCCGACGAATGAGGGGAGAGGTGGTCATGGCTGGGCCAGGCTCGAATCCTTCAGTTTTCCCTTGGCAATGGGCAGTTGCAATTGCAAATTGACAGTCAGCCAGTGTGCCCCCAAACTTTGCCCCCCCCAAAAGTCGCCCTAAACAGTGATGAACCCACTTCCGCTATCTCTTCCTCTTGCCCGTCCGTGCCTTTTACTCCATCTCTCTCGCTTACCCAATGCCCGCTGTTGCCATCGGTACGGGCATGTGCTTGTCTGGGGTTCTCTAATGGAGACTAAACGGAGGCAGCATGACTGGGAGCCATAGATCGACTAGGAAGCTGGATGGCTCCACCGGGGAGCGATCCTTGACCGTCCAAGTCGACCATTTCTCTGCCTGCATCGTTGGTTAGTTATACTGCACAGTATGTACCTAAGGATATTTTCCCAAGTCAATGTTCGCCCATGGTCGTCCAAATTTCCTCTCCAAGACTCCTAGAGAAAGCTGATGACACAACTGCTGAGCGCCGAAGCAAATTCCTAATTGACTTTTGTACAATATGCAGGTGTCGTGCCCTGCCTGCAGTCTGTTCGCAACTCTGTTTGCGGTTTGCCTCAGAAGTAACATTTGACAGGCGCACAGATTGAAGCAGGCTGTCATCCCGCGCCCCACATGCATCGAGGCACATACCTTCAATACCTAACTTAGAATACAAAGTACTCTGTCCCTTATCTTGGAATCTCATGTGCGGCGGCGACAAGTCTCTGCGAGCCAACAGGGAGTTGTGGAAGTCTATCACTCCATTCAGTAATTGTTGCCATTAGTAGTTGTAAAAGCATTGCAATTCTAACAGACCATTGATAGATGCATTAGTCCATGCTCAAGTAACGTTCTTACAACAGCTAAATCATCTTCCCATACAACGCCAGACTGTGCCGTTTGAATACAATGCCTCCAACGACAAAGACATGCTACTTTATATAAACATGCTCTCCCTGACTTTCATCACAGGTGAGCCTACATCAATGATATCATGCTTGTTCCTTTTGCTCCTCTTTTTTCTCTACAATCAGCTTTCCGTTGGCGTCTCTTGGCTTGCGCTGCCAGCCTGTGCTGAAGAGCTTGCCCATATCGAACCGGGGGAGCGGGTGCGCTTCCGTGTTGAAGACAACCTTGTCCATGGGCAACAAGTCATCCGGTGAAAAAAGGAGATAGAAGTACTTGAGTGTCTCGGCCTAGTCACACCGTGTTAGTTACCATGGCTTAGCAGTCAAGTAGAGTCTCACTTACCATCCAGAAACTTTCCAGGTTGTCGCGCGTAACCGGGGGGATCGTGTTGGCGTTGCTCAAACTCGTAAAGCCTCCACCATCCTCGACCGAGGTGTAGTTGACAAACGACTTGAACATCTCCCAACCCCATTCACGGTACTTGATGTCGCCAGTGATTCTCCACATGTAAAAGACACTCTCAATGGTCTCTGGTCGTTGAAGGTTGTGGACATCCTGAGAGTGTACCTCAAAGTCCTGTCGCCACTTGGCATGCGGGTCCGGATCAAAGTCCTTGGGCGGGTGGTGCGAGGCCGAGGGAGACGCGGGTGGGTTGTCGATATTGAAGTAGGTGATCTCGGCAGCAAGCCCTGTTGCCATCCACTTGTACATGCCCCAACACGTCTGCATGAGCTCGCGGGCCAGCTTCATGTCCTCGTCCTTCTTCTTGTTCCATGTGGGCAATTTCCTGGCCTCTGCCTCGGGAATACCTCCCGTTGCCCCCAAAGCAATGGTACCGGGCATGAAGCAGACGAGGTGGTCCATCTTCGGAGACAGTTCGTGGTTCAGGCCAGAAGGTCGCTCTCCGAGAACAGTAAACCCAGAGGGTTTGCTGTAGGTGATCAGGTGCTTGCGGACTCCTGCTAGGGCTTCGTCCCACATCTCCAGGTAGACGGGCTCTTGCTTGTTCGTCTGCAGATACTGCTTGATCAGGTACTCATAGTACGAGTCTCCGCGGGAGCCCAGGCGAATGTTGTCTCCCCTGAACTCTCCCGTCGTGGCGTAGAGGTAGATGGGAACAAGTCCATCCTGAGCACCATTATCGTCAACCACCTTCATGACCCGCTCGACCTTGTCCCAGAAGTCCTTTTCGCCGGTCAGCTTGGCTAGGTACTTGAATTCGAGCTGTAGAGTCGTCGTCTCTGCGGTCGAGGAGGCGCCGCCGTCAGCGTGGGATACGATGCCCTTGTAGGTGGCCAGGTTGACGCTGGCGTAAGGAACTCCCGACGGCGAGTCAAAAGCGCTCATCAGACGATCGGCCAGATCCTTTGCTTTTTCCAAGTACAAGTCCTCACCAGGCGCGCCTGGGTCGTCGTCTTTGATCGCGGCCAGCTCGGGAAACTCGGTGGACAGGAAATGCGCAGAGAGAAGGCCACCCATCATTCTGATGGTTGTCTCAAATGTGTTGACGTCTTGGTCTTGATCCCACGTCAAGTCATTGGCAAGCCATTGCCTCGCATGGCTCAGGCGTGATGTCAAGTTCATCAACATCATGGTGTCGAGCGAATCGATGATGATCCAACCAAGTCCCTTGGGTGCCATCTGCCGTCCGGTCTTCGCAATGGGGTGGTACTCGTCGTATCCTACGAACAAACTCGGCCATTAGCTTCCGAGCTCCATATGAACGAACACAATGGTACCAGCAAGGCCAAAGACTTACCCCAAGCATAGCGTTCGTAGGCATCCCAGCTGAGCTCAAAGGCCTCAACCACCCTCTCCCGTCTCTTGAGCCAGTCCACCTTCTTGCCCGTGGGCTCTGTCGCACCAAGCCAACCAGTCCATGTCGTTGCCGATTCGCGGGCCTTGGAACCCTCTGAGAAGAAGCCAAAGAACCAAAGACCTGTCACGAAGCAGAGAAGGGTGACGAGGATGGAGCGCTTGCGCCGCCAGAGAGGCCGAAACCTCCGGCTTGCGTGGTGGGCATAGGGCTTGTCCTTGTACATGGGAAGCTGGCCCTTGGTACCAAGAAGGTCTTCTACCCGCCCCTGCACACCGTTGAAGATACCAGAGTTGCCTCCACGGTAGGATCGGCTGCTGCTGGCAGAGGCGCCCCAATATCTGTCTTCTAGTTGTCGCTGGGGATTGCTGAAGGAGGGAACGTTCTTTGGGACATTGAAAGACATGTCGTTCAGCGCAGTGGCTCCGGCCTCGACTGCTTTTTCTTTGATGTTATGGGCAGCTCGGGCAGCCGTAATTTTGAAAACGCTAAGGGCGGAGTTCTGGTGTAGATTGAAAGGGTCGCGAACATTCATATTACGCCCTCAGCATTGTCGCAGTGTGGATCCGGCGGTTTCGAGCAAACGACGTGGGACGGGACGAACAGGTCGCAAACCTCGGGGGTCAACAACCTTGGAGGGAAAAGACTGTGAAAGAGGCTTGCAAAGACTGGTGCTCTGGTTCAACCCCCAGCAGCTTTGAGGAATGACAGTTGTACTGTGACGAGGTGGGATGTAGAAGAAAAACAAGTGAGACAAGAGCAACCAGCAACTGAGACTACCTGAGGAATCTCGATGATGTGGACTTTCTGACCCAGCTGGAGCGGGCCAGTGAGTGACACCTCTCGGTCGCGCAAAAGTGTCCCGTCGGGTCTAAAAGGTAAGGTACTGACCACTTTACCCGCTAACCCACTGTATTTCCTCACAGCGCGCGCTCACTGGTGGACAGGACAGGAACACACGGAAAGGCGGCACTTGTGCCCAGCGTAACATGCAATTTCGTCATGATGGATCGATACGTCTGAATCTTTATTGTTTGAGTAGTTTCTTATGGTCTTTGAAACCCCAATCTCATAGATACGCAATTGTCTGTAATCGCGAGCCTTTTTTTTTGGTCTATACGATGCTTTCAAACTACTGCGTACCGCTTTCTGTATTCGTAAGATAGCTCCATTGAGACCATTACTCCCACCCGCTTCGGCCTGATGACCACGAGCATCGTGTGTACAGATCACTCATTGGCAAAATGAACACTCCCAGAAACCCTAGTGTCGCATTCCGTCTTAGTTTAGTATGTAGTAGTACAATGGCTCTTCCCAATCGTCGCAATGCTCAATCATGTGTATGCTGTATTTCAACGCAAAAAAGCGCTGCTCCCCTTACAGAAGCATACGTCTGGGATCCTCAATGTACTCCTTGACCTTGACCAAGAACTGAACGGCTTCTCTTCCGTCAAGAAGGCGGTGATCGTAGGTAAGCGCCAGGTACATCATGGGGCGGATCTCGATCTTGCCGTTGATGGCCACTGCGCGATCCTTGACTGCGTGGAGTCCGAGGACGGCAGTCTGAGGAAGGTTGATAATGGGCGTGCCCATCAGCGAGCCAAAGACACCACCGTTGCTGATGGTGAAGGTACCGCCAGCCATATCCTCGATCGTCAGCTTGTTGTCGCGGGCCTGTGATAGCTCCATGTTAGTGTTAATCCTCGATGACGTAGTAGGGTCATCATCCATACCTTTTTGCCCATGTCGGCAATGGCCTTCTCGATGCCGAGCATGTCCAGAGACTCAGTGTTGCGCACGACAGGGGTGACGAGACCCTTTTCAGTAGCGACCGCAACGCTGATGTCGACGTAGTCGCGGTACACAATCGTGTCGCCGCCGTTGGGGCCCTCGATGGAGGCGTTGACGGCTGGGATATCGCGCATGGCCAGGACACAAGCGCGAGAGAAGGCGCTCATGAAACCAAGCTTGACACCAGTCTTCTTGAGGACGTCATCGCGGTAAAGCTTGCGGAACTCAATAAGGGAGGACATGTCAACCTCGTTGAAGGTGGTAAGCGAGGCCGCTGTGTTCTGCGACTGCTTGAGTCTTTCGGCGATTCGGAGGCGCATGCGGTTCATTTTCACCTGTGAAGACGTATAGTCAGCTCTACTGCTCATGGGAGATGCTGCGCGCAAAGATTGGAGGGTAGACATACACGACGTTCCTCACGGCTGCCAAACGTCGGAGCAGCGCTGGTTGCCGACTCCTTCTCGGGAGCAGGGGCAGGTTTTGACGTCTCCTTTGCCGGAGCAGCGGGCTTGCTGGCGGGTGCATCATCCTTGGGCGCCTCCTTCTTGGGTTCCGGCTTCGATTCTGACTTGGACTCTGGCTTTGACTCGGGTTCCGACTTCTTCTCTGGGGCAGGCTTGGATTCGCTTGAGCTGGACTTCTCACCTCCAAGCTCCATCTTGACGATATCCTGGCCGACAGTGACGGTGTCCTCCTCGTTGACCAAGAATTCCTTGATCGTACCGGCCTCGGGAGCATTAACAGCAACATCGATCTGTGCAGCAAGAGAAAGAACTGCAGTCAGCAACAGGAACGTCATTTCCCCCTAAAAGATACCAGATGAACAAAGCTACCTTGTCAGTCTCGATGGTGGCAATCTCCTCATCCTGCTCGACAAAGTCGCCGACCTGCTTCGACCACTGCTTCAGGGTACCTTCGGAAATGGACTCGGCCATCTGTGGCACTTGGACGATTTTATCGGCATAGCTGCGGACGTGCTGCATCATCTGGGGAAGCTGCAGCGGCAGCGAGCGCGGCTGGTACCGGCGCAGTGGCACGGAGCGCGCAGTCGCGACAAGTCTTCTCGAGAGCATCGTGACGGGTGTTTGATGAGGTGTGTGGGGAAAAGGAGAGAAGAGATGAGCGTGGTTGTGTTTTCTGTTTTTTGGGTGCACTCTGGTAGGCTGGCAAGCTGGTCACAGGTCTGCAAGAGACCCACAGGTTGGCAATGGCAGCAGCATGGCTGTAGTAGAAGCGGTTCTCTCCGTGTTTATGCCCACAGCGAGTAGCCTTCTACCGCCAAATAGGTACCCTTACCTCGGATAGTACTCAGCCCAGCCCGGCTTGGAGCCTGCCCTGTGTTTTTTTCTCGCCGGGACAGATACGGAGTACATGCCGATCCTTCCGATGCTGGGACAGATGGAATTCCCATGTCACTGGCACATTGGCAATGGATCTGTCGTGGCGGCCTTCTTTCACCTTCACCAGTAGATAGGAAGGACGGACCCAACCTAAGGCATGAGACTTTGATATAAAGATAATTTACGAAGAAAGAGTTCCAGGCATGGGCGGTCTCTCATTCAAGTTGCAAAGTGCGACCACAGATAGATACGTACCGGTACGAAGTAGCCGACTTAAAGATTGGGTATCCGTACCTACCTACCTACCTTGAGGTCGGTGGGTCTTCCAAGGGCACAACGAGCACCCAACTCGCCGTACAGTCGGTAGCCTGCATCCGAGCATCTCAACTTCAAGGGAACTACGGTATGGGGAAATAGACGTCTGCCGCATCGAAACGCCCGAAATCGACTCAGTCTATGCTCACATCATACGTGTGACCCAGCGTCTGCCCTCGGGTGCCACGACCAGTCATTCCATTCCAGACGACGTTGCGTCGCAATCAGTCGACTTCTTGAGAATTTTTTGGACCTATTTCACACAAACAAGGGAAACGCTAATTCATCTCTGGAGGATACACATTGTCTACGTTGGAAATGACGTTCAGGGACTTCCCATTCTTGACGCCTGAGGAGTTTTCCGAAGTATGCCATCATTTCGATAGCCAGTATTGCCGTGCTACCTTGGGCCCGATGCGACGGCGTTGGAAAATGAGGGTATGCACAGCACTTGATACATCATTCGCCACGGGCGTTGAATACACTACTTATTTACAAATCATCCGGCCACTCGAGGCTACTTTGGACTGTGGCGGTCTCTCATCTGTTCTGGACAATTTTTCATTTGGCGATGGTGCTTCGGAAAAGGATGCTCTAGGACTTGGAGATGAGGCCATGATTGATGCTGAAGAGTCCGACGAGGTAATGTCCCAAACTCTTGTTGTACGACACGCTGCTCATGTTCACTCAAAAACGGCAGGCTGCGCTCTCCAAGTCACACGTTCCTGATTCCGGTCACGTCGTCTACGAAGTGCACTGGCATCCCACATATCGGATGCCTTGCCTGTGGTTCACATTACATGGACTGCCAGCCGACGAGCCTGCATTCAACCTCGACACTGTCTTTCGAAGACTGGTGCCCGATCAGTTCAAGGATGCTCTCCGAAGGTCTAGCGGAATTGGAGGAATCTCCGGCGACGTAAGTAGACATCAGCTGCGGACCAGTCAATTAAATCTTCTGAAAGAGACCGTCTGTAGGTCTGTACTAACAATCGAGGTCGCAGCACCACCCCCTTACGGGATTACCGTCATTCTTCATCCATCCATGCCTGCTCGGGGACGCCATGTCGGGGTTTAACTGTTCCAAGGAGCAGTACATGATGCTATGGCTCGGCCTGGTTGGCGGATGCGTCGGGCTCTGGGTGCCCAAAGAGATGGCCCTGGATTCAACCGGCTGAAGCTCGCCGCCGCCGGGACCCTCCTGCCTTCTCTCACCCTGTTTGAACTGGAATGCAAGGCTGAGATGTTCAATCATCGTCACTGTCCTCTTCCATGGCAACATCGCTGTCCTCGTCTTCTTCCTCGTCTCTGGTCCGCTTCTGGCCTCTTGCATCAGCCGTCTGGGCGTCAGCCATGTTTTGATCACCCCCAGCTGCTGGCTTCGCCGTGGTGGCCACCGTGGCCGCCGCTGATGCGGCACCAGGTGCGGGAGCGTTGAAGATGCTCTTCTGAAGATCCGTCACTTCGGTGCTGGAAGCTCCTGCTGTCGAGTTTGGCATCTTGTATGTGCCGTCTAATTTGGCGACGAAGTCGGACTTGGACTTTGCGTACTGGACGTTCTGTTCATGGTCTCGTCAGCGAAACCTCTTATGATCCACTACTCTCAGGGTTGCATACCAGGGGCCGACCGAGAAACTCAAAGCCTTCGAGGGAGCGCATGGCCTGGGTCGCTGTCTGGATATCGCGGAAGGTGATGTGGGCTTGTCCTCGCATCTTCATGGTCTTCATGGCGACGATGTCGAGAACGGGGCCGTATGTGGAGAACAGCAAGTAAAGTTCGGTTCGCAAGTCGGCTTTTTGTATCTTGTTGGACGGGAGATTTGTGACATAGAGCCTACAATCGTTAGCGAGTGCCTCTTGTTTCCTGGGTTTCTGACTTACGTCTGGTTCGGAGCAACAGTCGCAACTTTGGCGGGTAGTGATGCGTTTGGCGCGAGGCCGCGGGGAGGGGCGACCGCTGCCATTATGCAATGTGATGAACGAAATTGTGAGGCGGTATGAGGCCTTCACGAAATTCGCCAATTGCTCGATAGTGATTGTTCGGTGCGGGTATGGTCTCGAGGTGGCGTGTAGTGGTAGGTATTCGTCGTCGTGGAATCGTCGCGGTACCGATTTTTTGTGATGAACGTCCGGCCACCGCACTTTAGTTGGTCGAACAGCCTTGGGAGCTTCACTGTTAGCGCCACCAATCGATCTCACGGACGCCAGGGTGTGGCCTTAGGTTCACAGCTGTGCAGAGAGCGAATGGTGCGAATGCCATGCTGCCCTGTCGGAAGACCTACCTACGTAACGCCCCTCTCTGCCCCACCAATGTGCACCTCCCAGACGGTACGGTGTAGTGTATGCAATGCATGCACCTTACGTATGTAGAGCCTGGGAGAGATACATTGCCTTGCTTGGACGGAGGCCAGCCAGCCTCTACTAGCACTGCCTCAAGCGACAACTTCGTCTGCTAGCATCTCCCACTCGTCTCCTTCCATACTACTTCAACAACCTTCGACTCAAGACAGATAGTGGTAGTAGAGAGCTATACTCCTATCACGAAGCAATCGTCCATCATGGCGGCCCCTCAGGTTCACCACCTCTTTCACGCGCCCATCGCGGACCATTCCTTCTCTGCCGACCGCCAGACGCTGGCTATCGCTCGCGATTCTACCATTGAGCTTTACGGACCTACTGGAAACTCCTTCAAGCTCAAGGATGAGCTTAAAGGACACGACAAGACCGTCACGAGTGTCGACATTGCTCCCAACAGCGGCCGCATTGTCTCCTGCTCTCAAGGTATGTCAATGCGCGCTGCCTAATTCTGTCCTGTCTCCGAGCCGAGAATAGCACCTGACATTCCGCGATAGACAGAAATGCTCTTGTCTGGGAGCCCTCGCCGACCGGATACAAGCCCACACTTGTCCTCCTCCGAATCAGCCGCGCCGCGACCTTTGTGCGATGGTCTCCTTCCGAGACCAAGTTCGCTGTCGGATCGGGCGACCGCGTAATCGCAGTCTGCTACTTTGAGGAGGAGAACGACTGGTGGGTGTCGAAGCACCTGAAGAAGCCCATCCGCAGCACCATCACATCCGTCGCATGGCACCCAAATTCCGTTCTGCTTGCTGCCGGATCTACCGACGCCCACGCCAGGGTTTTGTCCAGCTTCATCAAGGGTGTCGACGCCCGCCCCGAGCCGACCGCTTGGGGTGAACGACTGCCGTTCAACACTGTCTGCGGAGAGTACTTGAACAACTCTGCCGGTTGGGTGCACTCTGTCTCCTTCTCGCCGAGTGGAAATGCCCTCGCTTTCGCCGCTCACGACAGCAGCATTACTGTCGTCTACCCCAGTGCCCCTGAACAGCCTCCCCGCGCCGTTGTGACTATCACTACCCAGCTGCTTCCCTTCATGAGCCTTCTGTGGAGCTCTGAGGATGAGATCATTGCCGCAGGCTACGACTGCGAGGCCTTCCGCTTCAAGGGTGGCGAAGGTGGTTGGGGTCTTGCTGGTACCCTCGAATCAAAGGGCCGACCCGGGCTCAGCGACGCCCGCGAAGAGTCTGCACTGAACATGTTCAGGCAGATGGATCTTAAGGGCAAGGCTACCGATGACACCAAGCTCAAGACGGTACACCAGAACACTGTCACCACACTTCGTTCCTATGAAGAGTCTGGCGGTAACTTGACAAAGTTTACCTGTAAGTTTTTTCATCCCTTTGTTCACCATTGTCGAATGCTAACTAGAGATGAAGCCAGCGGTGTTGACGGGAGAATCGTCATTTGGAGCACTTAGACAACCTTTCATAGCAAGCTTTCAATGCAAATACCATGATGTTTCAAATATTTACCTCCAGACTATGGACTGACTTACCAGCACCTAGTGATACATTCTCGACAATTCTTTCCGAGAACATTGACGAAGAGGTTCCAGTCACTCGACGTCCGATTTTATACAAATACAGCGTGTAAAGATCATCTAACTCAAGCAGGCCTTCCAAACGAAGTCGACGTCGATAATCGACATTCAAATATGGAGCAGTACAGCAGAGAACCCGAACCTCAGCGCTCACCCAGCACATTCATTTACAATCTTGCGTTCAGACCAAATGATCAGAATTCGGTGACCAGTATGAACTCGATGATTATGCAAGCTTCGCCTATGCCACCTCAGTTCTGTTCGCCACTCCACGCCGGCTCTCTCCTGGAACGACGCGCTCTGGCTGGACGCACCATCTGCGGCATGCCATTCCCGCCATTGACCGTGCAAATTCCGCCCCGAAAAGATATGGACGTATCTGTGACGGATTCTGGTGTGTTAGATGAAGACTTTTTGCGGTTTCTTACACGACATCAACCTCGCAAGGCGGCTCTTCCGATGTGTAAGGAGAGGCATGCTCTAGCAGTGAGGATTCGCTCGGTTCAGGATATTTGCCTAAGAGCTAGCCAGAAGTATCACGAACGACGACGCAGACAAGTCAGACACGATCGCAGAAGAGAACGCAGAGAAGAACGCAGAGACAATCCCAGGGGGAGTTGCTGGGGGAGGTTTCGCGGAGGTAGTCGGCGCCCCGGTCCCTACGATCGACCCGTTCAACGAGATTCGCACCATGATTCTTCGTCTTCAGCGTCTCCGATCGCCAGCGACTGGGTCTCGAATGAATCGCTGCTGGACAGCATCAGCCGGATATGCAATCATCTCTGGGAAAAAGCCATAGTAGACGCACTGGACGAGTTCCTGGGTAGGCGGAAGAAGCGGGAGGCAGCGGCAACCATGGCGCAGTTGCTCGAGTGGGCGGAAACGGTCGTGGAGTGCGGTGTTCGTAGCGAACGCAGCGACTCTCCCGACAGGTCGGACTTGTTGCGATTACTCGAAGCTGCAAAGAATCTATGCGACTGGCTTGGTGACAATGATGGGGAAGCAGAACTTGGAGTAGTTGAGGGCGCGGTGACATTCTATCTCATTTTCGGAGTGGCATAGACTTGGGGAAGGGCGGATCATGTTTTTTTTGGTGATGTTGGTACGAGCTCAACAGTAAAAGACAAATGAATTGGTAGGAAATGACTCTAGCTGTCTTATATCAATAGCGAAATCGTGTGGTTGATTCTAAGTTGGCAAATATTATAAGAAGTCAAAAATTTCCTTCTCAAGACTCTTTCAACATGCAGGAATGTTAGACTGAAATATGGTACTTAGCTCTGACCTCGCCCTTCCTGAATGCAATGCTTCTTTCTGTCCTTGCGAGGTATTCAATGGATCCAGGTTCTTGGACGAAACAAACGGTGAGATTCATATCTTTGAAATATTCTGGCAGGGTCAAAGCAATGGAACGGAAGCAAGCACATGCAGTTGGGTTATCTTCTCCGTACCTACCTGAGCTACCTAATGTGCTAGCGTACTCAAACTCCCCCAAAGTATTTAGGCACGCTATCATAGTGAATAGTGACATGTGCTGCCAAACAGAGACCCAGTCACCAAACGGGAGATACCCATGCCCCTGCCACCTCTTCACCTTCTCCAACTCAAACGTCGTCTCCCGCTGATCTAACCCAACCCCACCAAACGCGCCAGCACCTCCCAGCTCCCGCCCGAGTGTACCTGTGCTTGTGCTCTACCGGGACTTGCAGTGTCAACCACCTTTTAACAACACATCCACTGCCGCCTTTTTCCTTTTCCTTTGAGAGAGAAACGTCACCGCTATTGCCTGTGAAGATCCCTCTTGGATTCCCTTCGCCGGTAAGCATCTCCTGCAGTCTCTTGAGTTTTGTTGCCTCCTGCATTCAAGATACCTTCCAGACGCTTACCATTTTCCGTCCTCCAGCCCACCTCAGATTACTCACCGCGTACAAGCGACCCGCCACTATTTGCCAAAAGGACCCCGCCAGAGCTCTACCGATACGCAATATCGCACATCACCGGCCTCCAGAAACAACAACCACCCTCATACACTTCCCTGTTTACACGAACAGCCATTCTCCCTCCCGGGAATTTGACTCTTTCCTACAACGAAACCTGAGAAAGGGAGCCATGACCGATCACTTATAATGGAAACCCCAATGTCAACTCAAGAGCGCCAGCTCTGTGAGTTTCTCCGAGAGCTTCCCGCAAGATGGAACTACGAGTACGACGATCAAGCGCACCACGACCTGTTGGAAAGTCTATTCTGGTCTTTAGCAGGAGGCGAACGATACATGCCCCTCTTCTTCCCCTCTGGACGTCCTTCGCACAACCTCAAGCTCCACGATGCTCAGGGCGCAGAGGAAGGCGCTGAATACACCGAAGCCGCCCGCGGCAAGCGGTGCGGCCACATCTTCAAGCCCGGAGAAGCCTCCTACTCTTGTAGGACCTGCAGTACCGATGA